TGATGAATTTTTAGAAGTGAACAGTTACTTATCTCCTAGATAAGAAACTAAAACTTACCAGCATCCCAGGGCCCCATTTGCCCCCTCCCATTCACTACCTTGACTTCTCTTTTAAAAGTAACTATTGTCCTGACTTCTCTATTCTGACTTTCAGCGTCATAGAATTTTTTTTTTTTCTTAAAAAGTGATCTCTGCACCCAATGTGGGGCTCCAACTTGCAACCCTGAGATCAAGAGTTGGATGCTCTAATGACTGAACCAGCCAGGTGCCCCAGCCTTGTAGATTTTTCCCCGTTTCTGAACTTCAGATAAATGAAATTGTTCTTTATAAAAATTCACTTAAGTATTAAGATGTACGTGTAAACATGTAGAAAAGTACACACATCATACATGTTCAGTGTGATGAACACATCCACCTAACCAGCATCTAAATCAAGATAAAACATTACCAGTGTCCCCGAAGTCTCAGTAGTGTCCCTTCAAGTCATTGCCAAGGCCTTCCCTTGTCATCACTACTAAGGGAAACCACTTTGAGCAGCATAAATTAGTTTGGACTCCTTGTACGTTTGGGAACCCAAATATACGGACTATTTTGTGTTTGGCTTTCATTCAGCATGTTTGCGAGATTCACGTTGCACGTAGCATTTCCATTGTATACTTTTCTATCACATGAGCATAGCACAGCTCATTTGTCCATTCTGACTTTAACAGACATTGGAGTTTTTTGGGTCGTCGTTGGTTGTTTTGAATCGGGCTGCTATTAGCATCCTTGTACACGTCTTTTGGTGCACACACAACCACACACACACACACACACACACACACACACACACATTTGTCTTGGGGATTCCTGGGTCAGGTCAGAGGACAGCATGTTTCATTTTAGCAGATTCTTCCAGTTTTCTAGTGTGGTCGTACAAATTCAGACTCCTGCATGGCACTGTACAACTGCAGCTGTTCCACATCCTTGACAGTACTTAGCATTGTGAGTCTTTTAAGCTTTTTTCAAAGCTCACTTTTTCCCCTGGCAGTAAAATATACATAACAAAATTTACCATCCTGGGGTGCCTGGGTGGCTCAGTCGGTTAAGTGTCCGCCTTCAGCTCAGGTCATGATCCCGGGGTCCTGGGATCAAGTTCCACAAGATTCCCACAAAGCTGGGATCAAGTCCCAAGCTTTGCCTGCTGCTCCCCCTGCTTGTGCTCTCTCTCTCTCTCTCTGTCAAATAAGTAAATAAAATCTTTAACAAAGATAAAAAAAAAACCACCCCAAATTTACCATCTTAACCATTTTAGGTATACAGATAGCGGTAGTAAATACCTTTGTCATCAGCTCCATCCGTCTCTATAATTCTTTTCTTGTAAAACTGAAACTGTAACGATAGCTCCCTGCTTCCTCTTCCCCGCGGCCCCTGGCAACCGCTATTCTACTTTGTCTTGCTTTTTTACTCTAAGTCCATACTTCATATAAATGGAATCATACATATTTGCCCTTTTGTGACTGGCCCTAATTTCACTTAGCATAATGTTCTCAGTACTCATCCTTGTAGCACAAGCTCATTTATTTTATTTTTTAAGTAAAAATATATTACTATTATTATTTTTTTTAAATATATTACTATTATTTTTAATCTCTTCCCCCGACATGGGGGCTCAAACTCATGACCCCGAGATCAAGAGTAGCCTACCAACTAAGCCAGCCAGGTGCCCCAAGTTCCTTTATTTTTAACCTACTTATTTACTTTCCAATGTAGATAAGAAATTTCATGATACAGTTGTCATTTTTAGGTTATCTTTATCAAAATGTGGTCATCTCAATTTCTCCTTTTCAATTATTCTATCAATATGAATTGAGGGAGAAGTTCTCCCAAGCGAAAAGCTCCGGGTTTCTGTAGTGCTTAGGGCCTGGAAGTAGAACACTGTGCCCAGTGCCATAAAGTATCGTTAGTTCTCACATTTGGTGAGATGCAGGAACGACCCCAAGTTGGGAGATTTCCCAGGAGCCTTTGCTAGCACCCTGCATCCGGGCTTTGCAAGTTTTCTTGTTCCTCTCATTGGAAGCAACCTGAGGCTTCTTCAGTGATGAGTGTTGTATTTAGGGGGACGTCCTAGGAGAAAGGGCAGAGAAGGGGTAGGCCTCCACAGATTACATATGATCATTTCCATGAAAAGAGTGAAAAAGTAGATAGCGTCAGACTGATCCAGCTGACGAGAGATTCAAATTAGGGTTTATCAACCATTTGCCCTGGATCATAAAGGTTCCTTTTTATCAAAACTTGATCAATACAGAATGGTGTAAAGTAGAACATGAAATTGTTTTACTGTAATAAAAATACTAGGTGAAGTGTGGATCCAATGTCTGAGCTTCTCAGGACCTAGAGGGAATGATGGATCGGGGGACTGTCAAATGCCATTTTTCAGGAATCTAGGTCATTGAGACAGGGACAAGGAAGGGGAAGTGTGGCTGGAAGAAGTTACTTACCCCCTTTCTGCCCTTCTTAGTTGCCTCTTGAAGTGGATTTAACAAAAGCAAAAAGACAAGATTTTGAACCATCTGTGGAACAAGCGAGATACAGCAGCTTCCGGCAGAACGTGGCTCTGGGGTCGCCCAAACCACAGGAGGTGACATCTCCTTGCAGACCGAACCGCTCGGGTGATCCGCACGCTGTGGGGCAGGAAGAGAAGGCCAGCGTCTCCCGGTACGGTCATGGTTCTCTCCCTCTCCTCTCCTCCCGGCGGGGTGGAACGTACCTTCCGGTTCACCGCCCGCGCCGGCGCATTGGGTGCTGTTCGCTGCGCTGGCCCCGGATCACCCCAGCTTGTTCTCTCGCGATGCTCAAGTCTGACCGGCGCTGAGAGCGAGGCCACCTACCAGCGGAAGCTCCGGCAGAAGCAGCTGCAGCAGCAGTTCCGGGAGCAAATGGAGAAGCAGCAGCAATTTCAACTGTCTGCTCGGGAGGTTGAGAAGAAGACTCAGGGTGTGTGAGAAGGGTGGGGGCAGGGGTTGGGGCCGAACCAGACCGCAGTAGGACTTCTCTTGGGTTCCGCGCAGGGTAGAGGAGTCTAAGCGCCTAAGATCATTTCCCCATTTTTCAAGACCGTCCTTTTTTTTTTTTTTTTTTTTTTTTTAAAGGGAAGGAAATGGCCTTTGAGAGAATCTAGAACTAGAAATTTCAGGGTAGAGAACATTTCTCTCAGGTACTTTGGCCGTGTCTGCTAGAATAAAGCCTTTCAGAGTGGTCTGTGAAGAGAAGGCGGAATGGTTTGAGGATAATGGGGGCTTTTGGCCAAGCTTCATCCTTGAACTTCAGTTTATTCGAGACAACTTAGTAGTAGCACAGACTATTTTGTCTTTCCCAGAGTAGAAACAAAGAAGGGGCTTATCCCAGACCAGCTGGACTTTTGCCCAGCTTCTCTCTAAGATTCAGAGGACTTTCTTCGCATTTAGTTCATTAATATTCCCCTCAGCACTGACAGGCTTAAACTAGTGTAGGGGGAAGAAAACTTATCGTGGTGGGGATGTTCTTAATAGTAACGGTTATTCTGGATCTTGAGCTTCCAAGCCACTGCAGGAGCTCCTGGCAGGAAGGCTGCGGGGGAGTGACCTCCCACAGCCAGAGCTGCAGTTTCTATTGGTTTTAGATTTTGAATTTCTGCTTAAGATTTTTTGGGGGTGGGGGGGAAAGGACGAGATAGCTTCTAATAATAACCTATTTTTGCTGCTTAAGGAGAAATGAACTCTTCCACCCCGTCCCCCAATTTGGTGAGAAGAAAAAAGAATCCAGTCTTTCTAGTCTTGTAGATCTGTAGGCGGGGACGGGATCAGGAATCTTCTCTGCTCCTGGCTGTGCTAGAAACTGGTGTGACTCTAGCAGCTTCGCTCTTCTGAGGCTCTCTCCAACGGTTAAGTGATTCTGTGACTTTGTCTTCCCCACCCCCCACCCCCCAGTGACTCTGGCAGCACTGCCAGCACCTCCTCTGACGCACAGCACCCCTGTGACTGCTGTTTCTGAACCACTCGCAGAGAAAGACTTCCTTACAGGTCGGTAAGAGCTATGGGCATGACTTAAGCATTGATCAGTAAGTACAGTAAGTACCTATGACATGCACTTTTGGCATAAAAAAAAAATCTTCATTTTTATCTGTTTTATAGTCCCATGAAGTTTTGGGGGAAAAGGGAGCCCAATGGACTGATGGCAGGTCTGAGGACACACACTTGGCTCCTCTATTGACCTAAGAGAAGCTCCAGTGTACTTTCAGGGGTAGGGGAAAGAGAAATGCCAGGAGCTCTCCCAGTCCACGTGTGACGTGGGATTTCTTAGGACCAGCTTTCCCCAGCACTTTATGTGAAAACACTGGGCGATGCTGCATTTTCCCATGATCTTGGTCCTTGCAGACAGTCTCGGAATGTGGGATATGGATCCAGATGCAGGGGACAGTGATGTCAGGCCCTTGTCTAAACCAGAACTGCTCCAGACCTCTGCTACACCAGCTCTGAAGAACCAGAGGGTGACTTGGGACAGGACCCCACAGAACATCTGCCACCAGAATCCACAAGCAAAATCAGGACCCTCGCGTTTGCAGACTCACAACCTCAACCAAGATGTAACAGGTAGTGAAGTGTTTAGGACAAAAATGAAAAGAACTTGGGCTTGAGTCTATGCCTTTTAAAGGAAGAATGATATTCTATTTGAAGAAGTTGGGTACTGTCATGCCAGAGGAACAGCGGTCTAAGAAAATGACAAGTAGGGGCGCCTGGGTGGCTCAGCAGGTTGAAGCCTCTGCCTTCGGCTCAGGTCATGATCCCAGGGTCCTGGGATCGAGCCCCACATCGGGCTCTCTGCTCGGCGGGGAGCCTGCTTCCTCCTCTCATTCTCTGCCTGCCTCTCTGCCTACTTGTGATCTCTGTCAAATAAATAAATAAAATCTTTAAAAAAAAAAAAAAATGACAAGTAACTGGTTTGAGCCACAACTTTTCCTTTGAGGTCCTGACTAGAGGTGCAACCCCTTGTAACCCTTGATAGTAGTAGGAAGCTTAACCACGAACTGAATGAAGAGCTTTCCTCATTAAAGTAGGCCCATCGCGTTTGGCTACTGCAACTTGATCTAGCGTTGACGGAGGGCTCTGCCCTCGTAACAGTTTTCATTCTTGGCTTTTTAGCTTAAGTTAGGATTGTTAACTAACAGAGTTCAGAAATTCCTAGCTGTCAGTTTCTTTCTTACTTGGAAAATAACAGCAGCCACATTTAAATTATTTTTTCTCCTGTAGGAAACTGTGATATCACTGGGAAGAACCAGGACTTGAAGAAAAGGAAATTGGATCCATCCTAATGGAGGCTCAGGTCACATCCTTGACTTTGTCAGAAAGGGACTTTCAAAAACTACTTTTTGGTCATAAAACTGTTCATCGTTCCTAGGGAATGAGCTTTATTTCCAAGGATTTGCCTTGCTTCAACCTAACCAGAGGACCTGACTGGTGGAGTCTGCCGCAGATAAAGCTGAGCAGTCAGAAAACCACGCTTTAAAAGAGCTTGTCACACCCTGCAGGGGGAGGCTCGGAGATGGACCACCTTTTCTTTGGCTCTCGAGGTTCTTCACTATTTATTCCCAAGCTGCTGTGTTAGTATGTATAGAAATTTTAGGAATGCCCAGTGGCTACCTGTCCTGTAAGCAACATAAGCCATGCTACTAAGCACCGACTTTTACAACTGCCTACATGGAACTGTAACGTCTGCCTTCTTTCACCGTGGGGCTCGGGCCTACTGTAGTCCGCACTGTGTTGTGTAGCCTCCTGAGAACGGAAGCTGCAGTGGCGTTTAGCTCCTTGCATCAGTCCTGGCTGCAGTCTTCATCTGTGATGACCTCTCGTTGACCGGTTTATGGTGTCACTATCCTGCAGTTTTTTTCCTGATCAAGGAAATGATTGAAGGCCAAAGAAAAGGCATTTTAAGACAGCAAAATAAATTCTTTCCTTTGTAACAAAAGACACAAGTGGGTGTTTGTATTTCTCCATTTCAGATGTGAGATATAACCCATCTTAACTTGGGCTTTTTTTATAGTTTTAAATGTTTCATAACCCCCCGCCCCCATGATGAATTTGCAGGTTCTTTTTAAGATGCATCTTGGGCTGTGCCTTTAATCTTCAAGCTGTGGCTTTTATTAATTTTTAGATCACAGATCCATTTGTGGGAAGCTATGAACCCGAGGCAGGGAACTCCTTTAACGTACAGGAAGGCAGTCAGCCATTTCTATTCCCTTGGAAGATGAAAAGGCTGTAGCTTCCCGTGATTTCCCCTTTATCGTATCTCTCATTACATGGATCTGGTCATGTGTTCATCTTTTGGTTTTGACATCCTTACCTTTTTTCTTCCCCCAGAAAAAAGTCTCTCCCTTTTCTGAAGCGTAATCTTAGTTCAGAACTGCTGCTTTAAAAAAGTTCCCGGAATCAGGAATCCAGTTATAAACTGTACACAACTCAAAACTGAGCTAATGAGATCATGAAAAAGGAATTTGCTGGAAATGAAACCCCACAGCTCAACAAAAGCAAGTTTGGTTTATTTGAATGGTTTCATTAAATAAGTCTACAAAGGTAACAAACTGAAGCACGAAGCGCAGTCTTACAAGAAGCGCCACACCCAGAGTTAGTGCAAAATGTACAATTAACGGCTGCTGAGAAACCCCCAAGGTTTGAATTCAGTTTATTTGTTTTTTTAAACAGTGTACATTGTTAAATAATGTAAGGAAAACATTTATAATTCAGAAAGATTTTTTGTAATGTGGAAAAAGATACTCAAAAGTGTACTATTAACACAAAAATAATTTAAACAGTTCAGTAGCACTAGTTCATTCCTCTAGGCTTTAGTTACTTCATCCACAGGAGGGGAAAAAAAAAATCAACGGTAAATAAAACCAGTTCTTACTTTTTGTGTGTAAGTGTAGAGATCTCAAAATTAAACCAAAATAATAAAAAATAATGTGCTGCATTTGGTTCCCTCGTTCCTCTAGTAAAAAGTACGGTTTCATTGATCTTAGGTGGTCCGTTTCTCATTTACTTGGCACCTTCTTTGTTCTATCCTTACTCTTCCCATCTCCCCAAGAATCTTAAGCAGAGAATAAATAAGTAAACAACTTTGAAGCAGGGCTTGGAACCCCTGTCCTTTTCATTTCTACTCTCAGTGTTCTGTGCATCTCCGGGACCTAGGCTAACTTACTGACGAAAACAGGGCCCACGAAGGAACAACAGGATAGGACAGCCAAGCAGGCTCCCCTTATTGTGGTGATTCCTAGGATGTGCTGTTGAGGTGGGTAAGAGACTGGAAATGTGTTAACTTCCCAACTCAAGACTCAAGAGAAGAAGCACCCAAAAAATGAGGAGTCCTAGCTTCTTTCTGCATCTTCACAGATAAGAGATCCCAGACATAGCCAATTTAGGAGAGTTATTTCCTGAAAGCTCTGAAAATAACAGAACTGCCCATTACAACTAGGCGTAGCACTACATAATACTGATTGGTTGCAGGGCAGTATTTGTTTATATGAGAATGTGAGAATATCAGCTGCAGTTCTAGACACAGAGGTGGCACAACAGATGTATGATCCTGCAACCATCTGGACATCACACAGGAAATGAATAGGAATAAGCACTCTGTCTTATGATGCTTAATTCAGATGTGGGTCCACTTTCCACAAAATACAGTACCCCAAGCTGAGAAATGCATGATATATTTGCAACAAGAGGAAAGCAAAGTTTTTCTTAGAGCATCTTTCTCCATCGGTGACTTTCCACTATCAACGTTTCCCAACTTAAAAAGTAGCCCCCACCCCTTCCCTTTCTATTCAGCCATTTCCACTAGGTCTTATCTGTCAAGCCTGACGATTAAGTAAGGCTCATGGCACCCCGTGGGCCAGGCAGCACACAGCTTCCTGACAAGTCTGTTCTCCTGTTCTTAGTCTTTCTTTCATTTATCACACACCACCCTTAATCTTTTAAATTGCTCAATTTTGTTACCACACCCCTCCTTACTGTTCTTGAAACAGGAACTTTCTGCTTTCAACCACTGATGTCAACTTAACTTCTCACCCTGCTCATCTTACACCTGCTCTAGACAAAACTGAATGACTTAAAAACAAAACAAAACAAACAACAAAACACTCAGTTTCCCTTTGGCATAATCCTCTGCTGGGGTCACATGGACCTAATATCCTTCCATATGCCCTCTGCTGACCTGGGGTCTGATGAGAAGTTGGTGCTAATGGCAGAAGCAGTAGAAGTCCAAGGCACTAAAATATCCAGCAAGCAATACTGGGAGAACAGAAGTATTCAAGTACAGTAATTTATATAATCTTACATTCACATTTATTTATCTACTACAATGGAAATACAAAGGAAAAAGCTAAAGTGTCTCAATAAGTAAAGGACAGAGCTTGCTTTTTTTTTTTTTTCTCCAACTTTTTAAACCTTTCATATTTTACTCTTAAAACTACTGTTGTCCAACAACATTTATATATCACAGTGTTTCCACATCAAAACTGATGGCAAAGTTACATGTCCGCAGGGGACTTAATTTTTTTTCCTAATTGCTAATGCTGCAGTCAAAGCTGCTAATATCATTTGCTTAAAGCACTAATGACCTATTATAAGAAAGGGTTGAAACCTCAGTCCCTTGGTGTTTTTCACTGGGTTCTAAACCAAAAAGAAAGAAAGAAACAAAAGTAGAAACAAAGAAAGGAAAAAAGGAGGGGGAACAGGGTAGGAGAGAGCCCAATAGTTTTTTTGTTTGTTTGTTTTGTCTTGTGGTTTAGATTCTTGAGGGAATAAGGGATTTGGGGTGGGTACCAAAATTAAGAGCTCCACCCATTTGAAAATACAGATGGGTTTGGTTTTCCACTGAGCTCTCTTGTTGCTTTCTGATAAATGATTCTCTTTTCTTGCCCTAACTATTGGGTGTAGAGAAACAGGAAAGCATAGTTTGAAGCCGCCCCATCACAAGAAAGCTGCTCTTTTCTTCTTTTTCCACTCCAATAAATGGTGAAAGGGGAGGGACAGTCTCAATTCTGAGGGCTCTAAGCGGTATTAAAAACATTCCTTTCTGGCAAAAAATAACCAGTTAAATGCAGCACTAGTAGTTAGTATATAGGCTACTTTCCCATTTCCCCCCCTCCCACCCACCCTTCAGCATTCCATCTCCTGCCCCCAAATCTACTCAGTTAATGTCTCTAGGTCTAAGTGGTCCGCAGGTTGGAACCTGGGGGGTTGCTGATGGACTTCTGCAAATTGCTGATGTTGAAATTCTGTAAGGAGGCAGTTCCCACAGGCTGGAACTGGCCAAGCGGCTGTGGTGCCGGGCCACCTGTCCCACTCCACTGAGTGCCAAAGGGGGGAGCTGGAAAACCGTACTGCTGTGGGGGGCACATAGACTTGGTGAAGTGACCTAGAGAGGTAGCTGATGCTGCAGAGATGGGGGCAGAACCACCCAAATTTGAGGTCATGGAGATGCACAGCTGACCAGGTGCAGAGAACTTCCTTGCCATTCCAGGGCCCTGAAAACAAAACAACTGCATGTCAAGTTTGGTGTGGGTATAACCCAGAGGGGAAATGGGTGGTACCAAATCTAATTCTCAAACTGGGGCTGTTCGAACCTTACAGGGCATAGTAAAACCAAAATCAAACCTTTCACAGTTACTGTCTCTTTACACTTGCCAAATAAGGGTAGAATAACTACCATGCTTGGAAGTGGGCAGAGTCACGTGCATGTGTGTGTGTATATATATATATATATATATATATATATATGTATGTATGCAATTCAGGGTGGTAAGAGAAAAGGGGAGAAAAAACTGAGTTGACAAACAGGGAGCTAGGGATTCAAAGACAAAAGGGTAACTGGGTGTTAGAATTTCTGAGCTGCTAAAGAAGGCTACTACATGGAATGCTAAGCACTAGTTAGGTAGTTGTTATCACCTCTGCTTCAGGTGTGTGCTAAGTGATACTCTGCTAGATTAGGGAAATGACAAAAAGAGAAGACTTGCCTCGTAATTCATGTGTCCTTTGCTTCCTCTCCTGCCTGAAAGATTCATGGCATCTCGGGCCCAATTGTCTACCAGCTTGTGCAGGTCATCTGTGAATGTGCCCTTCCTGCTGGACGTCATGGTAGGAGGCTGAGCTTGGGCGGCTTGGCTGTTCACTGTTCCCCCAACGGTGTTTGTGCTGCTGGTCCCTAGAATTAGACGAAGCAACAGAATACAACCATTAAAAGGAGCTTGGGTTAGAACTTCAGAAAGAGGGAAAACTTCACAGGACGATGAATGGCAAGCCACTGAATGAGGAGAGGATAAGCTGGGAAGGCATGCAAGAGGGGAAGGGTTCAAGGGTTTGTCTGGCCACATGTTCTGACATAAGTAACAGGGTAATGAAAACAGATTCTCTTTAGGAGTTGTGGCAGATGAAGCTAAAAACTCCGGATGAGGGCAGACACAAAGGCTGGGGACTGCTTTTAGCCCACTCACATGGTATTTCAGCGCACTGAAACTCACTTTCAGCACCCCATTCCCAGCATCACGCTGATGAGGGAGGTGCGCTAAGGTCAGTGAGGCTCTAGAATGCTGCAGAATGCAGGGCAAAAGATGATGATTTCTTGAGCCCTGAGGCAGGGTTAAAAGCAGGAGTTAAAGGAATGCAAAGGTAGATTGCCTGGCCCGGGAAAAGATGGGGTTCCCAAACCATGTGGATACTATGCCACGATCATCAGCCATTCTTTAACAGAAAGAAGCGATAGGAAAGATAGCATGCTCTGTTCAAAAACCTTTTTCACCTGGACCCACACACACAAATTCATAAACATGAACTCGGGCGGAATGAAGGCTTCAACCTCTCCCATTTGCCTATGAGTTAAGAACCAAGATTACGCCTGAGGAAGATTCTCTGCAGTGCCTGAATCGTTCAACTGCAGGAAGACATGGTTTTCCTGAAGATGACCTCAGTTTCAATTGGTTCATGAATTCTCACCCCTCCCCCGCTTCCCAGAAGAGCAAGCACTCGCAAGTGGAAGCAACAGGAACATTCAGCTGAGGTAGGAGTGCAAAGGGAAGGAGGAAGCTTTGAGGTTATGATGAAGGAATTCTATTTCTATGGTTCGATGAGAAAGGAAGAAGGGGTCTGTGTCCTGCCTGATTTCGGCTCTGCTGGAGGGCACACTGAAGATTATTCGAAGAGGCAAGTTTTAGGGAAGAGGGAAAGAAAAGTCAGGATCTTGTTTTTCTTCCCTCACCCCCCACTTTCTTACCAGATCTCACATTTCCTGCAGAATAAATAAAAGCTACTAAGGTAAGTTGTGAGCTGCTAGGCCTTCAGATATCCAAGTAATGCTGGGGGCTCAAAGAAATGCATACATATTCCTGCTTTCCAGGTCCACGCAGCACCAGAGCACAGCGGCATGCCCCGAAGCAACTCTGCCACATAAAAGCCCTAGATAATCCGTTCACGGGCCTCACGTCAAGTTTATACCCCACCACCTTGGGAACGGCACATACAAGCATGTCTGCATTAGAGTAACAGCTAATTCTGAGGTGAAGCCGCAGAGTGAGGACGGTCACATGCTTCTTACCACCAAGGCAAGACATGGATCTACTGCAGCGTGTGTATTAGCTTACTTCTTAGTGCCCACTGGAGCCACAAGGGGATAGCGACTGCACAGACAGCGTGAAGGGAAGTGTCAGTTCCCCTCCGGTACAGGAGACCCAAGTGGAAAAGGATAAAAGCACAGGAAACAGCCTACCTTGAAAAGCAAGACAGACCATGGTGGGGAAGGAGAGAGGGAGAAGCGCAAGCAGTGAGGGTGGCAGTTGTGATAGTGATAAAATCCAGAAAGCAAGCATGCCACATGCATGAGGACTCTCTTCCTGTTTGAATAATAACTGCTTGGTGAGCTTGATGATGAGTGAGACAATCCAAATGAAAACCACAAACAATCACAAGTGAGCAGAACTGGTAAAAGCGAAATCTAAGCAGCTCAGTAGAGGCGAACACTGCTCGTTCGCGAGGAGCCGTGCTGGGCGTCACACCTCTCTAGTCGCCTCTGATGCCGTGAGGCTCCTTTATAACCAAATTTCATTTTTCATTTTAATCTGTCTTACACAGGACTGGATTCTGAAGTGGGGTTTATAGACCACGATGGGGGAGGGATCAACCATACAGTTAACCTTTTTATTCTGCTTTGTGAAAACAGGCTTTCCCATTAAAGGAAATAAACACGTCTCTCTCTGACCAGAAATGAACGCCTGGCAACAGCTGACTTGACTATGAAAGCTAGGAGAATGGATAGTACGTTTAGCGCATTTAGTCCATCTTAGCAGTAAATGGGTTAAGAACACTACTTGCAATGCAGGTATTTCTGAGAACGCTGACTCCCTTCCAGAGAGAGGTAACCTTGAAACCTTTCTCAGTTCTGCTGCAAAGCTCTAAGCAGTAGTCTATGTTTTACTACCCAAAATCCATTTTTAAATTTTTTCCTGCCATAATACATTTCCCACACCCCACACCCCACACCTCCAGATCCTAGGAACAATAATTTACTCTGAGTCACAGCTAATTGCCCAATACGCCAAATATACAGAGTTTTCTGACTGACCCTCTACGTGGCCGGTTGGGTAGTTGAACTGTCTGCACTTTAATGAGAAGCCACCAGTCTAAGAAGCCAACTCTATAAAGTAGTGCTTCTCTCTTCACCAATCCACCAGATGTCTCCCACTATGATTTGTGGATGTGGATTTTTCCGTGTTTGGATCAGTGCTGACTTCCCAGTGGGCGGAAAAGTGGCTGGCATGGACCTGCTGACTAAAGGACTCCCTTTCCCCAAAGAGCCAGGCATCCCTGATCTCTCTATATATCATGGGCTATCAACCCGTAATTGTCACAAAGCCAGACTCACAGAGGGTCATCACATGAGAGCAGACTATGAGGTGATTTCTTAATCTGCCAGTGGTCAGCAATTAAGCATGTTAAAAAAAAATCTTAGAAAAGGGTGCAGAACTAGATAGATGGAAAATGGGAATGAGGACGTTGTGAAGCTTCAGGGTTCCAAGAACTCATGGATAACACGCTTTGCAATCAAGGACCAAAAAGTAAGAGAAAGAAAAGATAATTACTACAGAGCTGGTTGCAAGGACAGACTTTTTTCACCATCTTCCCTGAAGCACAAAGAGAGAGCAACGTGTTAAAGATAAAGAAACATCAATGTAAAATATTAGAAATCTTTAGAATCTCCAAATAGCACACAAAGTCCCAGCAAGAGAAAGCAGAGAGAGAGACAGACTGGTGGGACCTTGGAGCTCCTGCCACAGGTAAAGTTCTATGGATGCATCTTACGTAGTTGTAACATGGGTGTCTGAAGAACGGAGGTACCTGGCTGACAGCAGAGCTTCCATACCCAATTTTGGATCTAAGAGTAATGCTCTGCACTAAGGTTCTGGGATGGGAGAGGAACTCCAGTCTCTCAGGTCTTACTGCTTGAATTGCAAATACCCAAGCAGTCTTTCCACTGACCCTGTCCCACTTTCTGTTTCTCCTGCTGGGTTGTTAAAAAGCACCTGATTAAATGCATTAGCAATTCTACCCCAGTAGACTGACAGTACCACCATTATAGTTTTGAGTCAATTTAAACTGGATGATACATTTCCAAATCCTAGACATA